GGTCCACGGTGGCCTTGGGAACCCTTCCTGTGGGACGGGGATGGGGACCCCTCTCAGGGAGGATGAGCAGGAGGAACCTGGGTGGGGGACGAGACAAAGGGAAGAACCGAAAGGAAAAAGAGTGACAGGGAGGGACAGAAAGGAAAAGAAGGGACCCCTTGTTTAATCTCAAGTCTCTGCTTGTGTCTTCTCCTTCTCTCGATGACTCTTTATCTGTGACTATTTCTGGTTGGTTCCTCTGTGTGGTCACATGTCCATGTAGCCTTCCAGCCCTTCTCCTTATTTGGTCTGTTCCCCAAAACCGGGACTTAGCCCCCTACTCTGGGGCCTTGTAGCTGATGTCACTTATCTCATGTTATGGGACAGTATGGTACATACTTCCTTGGTTCCCAGGCTTTTTTCTAGACTGCATCTTTGTTGTGTTGGATAACATGTCTGTCTCCAGGGCTATATGAAACTCTGTGTGTGAAACCCAGGCTCTTTCAAATCAATTAACCCCCGCAGCCCATCTTGCACCTTTATAATGCAATAATAATCTATACCTATAAGCCAATTCCCCAAAAAACAGATCTTTAAATACTATTTTCAAGCCAATACTCTTCTCCAGCCCCAAGCATATGAACAATCTTTTGCTCCCTGATTCCTTTATAGGAATCTTTTCCTCCTCCCCGATTCCTTTATAGGAATCTTGTTTGCATTGCTAGCAGCAAAGTAAAAGTGGCTAGAATACCTATCTCTACAGTGCTCTGTGCAGATACTTTGGAGAATGGCATTCAGTTATCACCATACCGCAGGCACCTGCCTGAGAGGACAAAAACATGGAGGATGGTTTGGAACCAACCTCCAAATGCTCCACAGATTCCATAGGAAGGATCTTTAATTGTGCTTGGATGATGATAATGGAGTTAAATTTTAGTCTTGGTCCTGGAACACACACCATAATAGAAACCATAAAGAACCATCAGAAACAGTAGGGCTTATTTTTATTTTTTTTTTATTTTATTTTCTGTGACTGAGCAAGGGAAAAGAATATCAAAAGAATGTTTTTTCCCTTTCTGTCTCTTCCCTTCCCTCCCTCACCCCTGGAATAATTTTTTTTTATAATCCAAGGGATATGCATGTATATAACATAAGAGAAGACACAGTGGTACAGTGCAAAAACCAACAAATCTCTTCCCTAAGTGTCATTTGCTTAAAACTCAGTTTTTAGGGCTTTGCAGGACTAGAAATCAGTCTTATGTCATATTTGCAAGGTGAGAATCTCCCTTTTTCTTTCATGTAAAGCTTCTTAACTCAAATTTTATCCCATTAATCTAGGAAAAATTCCCAGACCCATATCTACAATACAACAGCAGTGCTGTTGTTTACTTTCTGGGTACACTGAGGAAGAGGCAAGGAGCCTCTTTAAGCCAAATCTTGATTTGTTGTTGTGTGGAGTAGACTACACCACCGATGCATGCACCACGCTCCAAGGGGGCATGCTCTGTTGGGTGAAGGAATGTATTTATATGCAGTGGTCAGAAGCAGGGGTATGTGGTGTTCTTTTTCAGAAAAAAAATGTCCCTCTGGAAGATATTGCCTCAGATGCCATTTCCAAAGCTGCCTTAGGCGTTCCACAGCTAAAGATATACTGGGTAGCTTACCTGGCTCCCTAGCAATGTGGTTAGGGAGAGAGTTTTGTCCTTTATGTTCCATAGATATACACTCCTGAAAATGATGACCATCATCAGGGAAAGTTGCTTGTACATTCCATCAAACACTGCAGAGCTAATGATGGGCTGGGCAGATAATCGTGGGAGAGTTAATTGTAAAGTTCGATATGGCATCTTGTCAGCAGAGATAAGTTGTCACGTTTTCCACTTGAGCTGAAACTAAATGATTGTAAAATAAGTTATGAGTGTCCTTGGGCCTGTCTGCCAGAATGATGGCTAAGAATACATTCCTGGCCCATCAGTCTCAAGCAGCCTGCTTGATATTTATGCGAACTGAATGTTATTTTATTCCCCCTCTAGTCATGCTTGTCAGCTTCCCGAGTGAAAAGTGAAACTGCTTCTTTGACTCATACTTCAAGTGTTGAAGCTCGGAGAGTCTGCAGATTGTTATTATTATTACTAGTATTATATATTTTTTTGGGTGTGCGTTGAACATTGATGCCCGATTGGGAAGAACTAATGGCTGACATTGAATGCACGGGATGGCTACAGAACAGCCCAGCCCAACTCAGTGAAACGCATCTTATGAGTTCTAGTGCCTCTGTCAAAGCTGGTTTAGATGTGGAGTAATGAGGCGCTTGCTTTTTTAATTTGGCGTGCCTTTTTCCTTTCCTTTTTTCATATTTAATAGTGTCGGCAGTGATCGTCTGTTCTCACGCGTGGTAATTGATACAAAATAAAATGCATTATTTGTATTCAGTCAGGAGTATGAAATTGCATTCAGTGGGCTGAAGCTTGAACTCATTTACAGTTTTCCGAAGCTGGGTTTTCAGGAGCCCTCTTTTCAATTTGAAGAATACCTTGTCAGGCAAGAGAAGTAGTCAGAAATGGGAAAGCACAGCATGTAAGCCTAGTACATTTTGATTGCTCATATTTTAAACCAGTAGAATGTTAAATAACTTCTATCTTCAAAGGGTGGTCTCAGAAACTGGAATATAGGGCATCAGTACACTAACAATATAAGCCTGGCATCCATTTACAAAAGATTCACATTTTTTTCTGGTTGAAGGGGAGGGAAAATATCTCAGACTCTTCACTTTCAGAGCAGTTTGACCCAAGGACAGCAGGTAATTACCTAAAAAGGTTGTGGGTAATGAGGACTCACCATAGGATAATTCTCTAGCTTGTATAGACTAGAGAAGTTGGGTCATGTCTTTGTAAATCTCACCTCATGTTTTTAGTAAGCAAATACAAATAAACAATTACAACATTTTTTGCTCAATTTTATAATTGATGTTTTTACCTTTGACAGAATATACCAGCATCTACAAATACCTTGGCCAGCTACTGTAACATATGAATAGTTCATTTAAACACAGTCTTAACTTATTGCAAACTCATGTTTTTACAGTATCCAAAGTAGGATCATTCCTCATGACAATCATAAAGGTAAAACATGCAGAATAAATGCAAAATAATATGAAGAATAAATTATAAAGTTTTCTTTATTGATCTAGTCAGATCTTACTTCTGTCTTATTCTCTTATGCATCCAATTTTTTTCTGCACCTTCTCTTCTTTCTGTATCGGCTAAAGAGGATAAAGGACAAATAAATCCTTAATAACGGGTGTAATTCTTGCATAATTTTTTTAAGCCTGTGGAGTTCACCACCCACAGTTCACTTTCTGAACAAGCAGATCAGACAGGCAATTAAAAATGAACATCTATTCAAAAGTTAAATGAAACAGATGCTTCATTACAGTTGGCATTTCTTAATAGTTTTATTAAACATTAATAAAATTGGTTTTTTATTTTTATATTGAAAAGTGTCAAATTGGAGGCAAGCAAATTTAGACTTTGGGTGGAAGAATTTATCTTGGGTGGACCATATTTAGTATTGAACATAAAGGAGTTCCAGAAAAAAAATTTAATCTCATGGACTATTATTGTATTTTTTTAATGTATAGAATATTAAATAAATAAAAACATACACTTAGCACTGTTCTTAGATTGGAGATTAATTGCTATTAAACTGAAATCATATTATCCACCTTTAAAAAAGCTTTAAGTACTTACTTCCCTGATAAAAATTCACCTACAGGTTCAGAGAGAGAGTATGATAGTATTATTTCTTTCAATCAGGGATCATTTCATAAAATAGATAAAACTATTGTTAAATGATACTCCTGAATATTTTATGACTGTAGAAGTGGAGAAAAGTTGGCACTTTTTAAAATTAAATTTTCTGAAATCCTTTGGGACTCAAATTTAGATGCACATGTTTTAAAATTACTTAAAAATGGTATGAGATTAAAGATATACTTATAACATTTCATGCATAACATTTTCCATTTATATTGTATCAACAAAAGCATAACTTGAGTTCAGTCCATTGGATTTTACAAATAGGTCGTCTGTCCAAATTCTCATTCAGCATTTTTGTTTTTGCTTTTTATATCAAATAAGTTGGTTATGGATTGCTTTCATGCATTAGTCCTAGGTTTTCCCATCTTTAAATGAAGACTTTTGATGCAGACATCTGTGCCTGTGCAGTGTCCCATCACCTGCAGTTGGGTATTAATTTAGACATTAGTGGGGCTGCATATAAGTGAGAAGCTCTCACTAACAGATGCAGTTTCTAGGTTTTCACATATGACAATGGCTCAGCAATAAAGAATCAAATGAGACTTCTTTTTTTGCCTTATTCGAAAGAGAGAGGAATTTTAAACCATTTTAATGGATTGTATGCTACAAGAAAAGATCTTTTTCTGCTGGTATTTTTTTTTTATATTTCATTCCATCAGGGTATGTTAAAATAAAATTAAGATTGTCAAGTTACACACGGTGTAGGTTAGGAAAATAAATGGCTTTTATGGGGTGCCGAAGCTATTCTTCCTAAAATTGAACCCAAAATTGTGGGTTCAACTTGTAATCGGACCAATACAGTAAGTTATTTTGGTGACAGGAAGCTGTTAATGAGAAAACAGAATACCTGGTTAAAAAAAATAAATAAATCTATCTTTGTGCCTCAATTGAATTCCCATTAAAATCTATTTAAAGACTCAAGTTGACTAGGATTGGAGCCGGGACCTTGTCCCAGTTGCTCATTAATACTTTCTGCAAGAAGACTAGAGTTTTGGGAGATTCTTTTCCTCGGTCATTGGATGGTAGCAAATTAACAAGAACCAGAATTTGCCTTAGAGGAGGTAACTAAGTGACATCACATAACTTTAATACCCTGTAACATTCTTTTTGAATGGGAACAGTCTGGTTTTTATTAAAATGATGCAGTAGTCATATTTTATTTTATTTTATTTTTACCTCTTTCCAATTTTTGTCAAATTGCAGATACTGGTTTGGGAGATTCTGTGTGCTCAAGTCCAAGTATATCCAGTACTACCAGTCCCAAACTGGATCCTCCTCCTTCCCCTCATGCCAACAGAAAGAAACATCGCAGGAAGAAAAGCACTAGCAATTTCAAAACTGATGGTATCTCAGGCACTGCTGAAGGTAAGCTTTCTACATCGTGTGCAGTTACAAATTCCCACTCATTGTTCCTGGAAGCCTCTGTGTTTTTTGTGAATTTGTTGGATATTACTTTAACTTGACTGTTGGACTTTTGTTCTAAAGTTGAACCAAACATGCAGGCAAAAAGCCATAAACTTAATTTGTCATTTACCAGCTGAATGGTTTCTAGATATCAAAAAAGCACTAATTTCTGTAATCTTAAAAATCTTGCTTCAACAAATGTTTACTTTCAGGGATATCCCTCAGCTGATGTTCTGTCACACTCATTATCACTATCAGGAATGAGGGTTGGACCTGTTTTTAAGGCAAAACTAAATCACGGCCCACTCAGCAGTGAATGGATATTGATAGGATGTATATGTCCTCATTCAAAATTGCTTAAATCCTATATTATCTTCAAGCAAGTTCCTTGATCTGGAGGCAGTCATCAGTGCCACTGATGCTTCCTATTGTTTGAATATTCAGCTGCTTATAGAAAGGATGAATTACTTAAGGAGAAAAGGGAAAGGGGAGAGTTTAAATGTTTGGGTTCATTTTTAAGTACCAGAAAGCAAAGGCCAAGTAGAGGGTTTTTTTTCTTTTAGCTTAGCGTACTCTTTCCATTGCGGTCAGTGTTAGCTGTTCAATAGCCTGCAGAAGAGGTAACAATATATATAGTAGCTAGCTATCATATAAAAACATACTTATCTTTAGAAAAGAAGAAAAGAAACAAGCTATGATTCAATCGAATGAGCTCCAGAAAAAAAATGAACAAGGGTAGTTGGAACGCATAGAAACTGGGGACTCAACATATAAGGAAAGATGAAAAAGGGAGACAATGGGATAACAGTGTGGAGAAAGCAGGAGTGTTAAGTAAGAAAAGCATATGGTTGTAAGCTTTGGAGAGTAAAAACTGCTAATTCAGTATCAAAGAACAAGGGGCAAGTTCTGAAAAAAAAATGACAACTGTAGACAGCTGAGACATTCAAATAGAGATGTGATAATAGTATACAACTGAGAAGGGACATATTAAGTACTACTTAGTCATCCTTATTTTACATATATTTTCATTTCTTGCTTATGCTTTTATTACCTCTGTATATCTTTATTTCTTTGGTTATCTGTATGTACCCTTTATTTTTAAAACATTGACTTTCACCATAAGAATTTCTAATGTTTTTTCTCCATGTAACTTCACTATCTTTATAGCTCCACTCCCTTTAATCCATGGCTTTGTAGTCAAATTATATATTTAACCTGTCTTGAGTCTTTTTCCTCTTCATTTTCTTTATGGGCCTCAGTTTTCTTTCAGGGTGCAAAATTAAAGTTGGGCATTATCAAAAGCAGGGGTCAGACACCTACAGCCCATGGGCCAAATGTGACCCATGGACCTGGGGCTTTGGCCGCAGGAGATCTCAGCATCAGTTGCTTTCACCTGCCGCTGTGGGGAGAATTACTGGCTGAGGGTACTCTCCCCATACCGCTGTAGAGAAAAGCTGTGGTGGTAGGCACTTTCCCCATGTCACCAGAGTCAATCCGAGCAGAGTGCAGGGCCCGGGGCAAATCAGCCTGTGATCCTGGCTCCAAAGAAACTGCCGCCACCGCCGTTGCCATCAGTGGCAAGGGTACTGAGTGGCTGGACTTCACGCCACCGCTGCTCCGTCCCGCTCCGTGGGCCTCCCAAAGCGTGGGGCCCAGGGCAGTCGCCCCAATTCGCCACCCCCCCCAGGGATGGCCCTGCATGTTGCTCACCTGCCCCGCTCTGACCTGAACTGGCTGAGTGGCCCACAGTCTAAAAACATTACCAGCTTCTGATCAAAACCATTGAACTCATTATCTGTTCTCAGTGAAGTTAAAAGGAGCTGAGACTAGACAGTCCTGAAGGACTTCTGAAAAATCTCATACTTAATAGTTAAGCTGTATAATTTACAAAGGAGGATGAACATTATCTTCCTGGATTAACTGCGCCATAAAACAAAAACTTGAACCATTGATAGCAACTGACTGTTTGCGAGTTCCCTACCTTTGTGTCTTATGACATTATAAAAATGTGTTTATCAGGGTACTATGCCACACAATAGTAGCACTTTTAGGTATGTAAACATGATTCGCAAGATAAACCCAGAAATTTCACATAGAAATCCATAGTTGTAGTCTTTCTGAGTTCTTTACAGCAGAAAAACTGCACTATTATTTTTCTGTAGTCAAAAAAAGAGTGAAAACTTAAGAGCTGGCATTTTTGGAGGGGTTCCTGGAATCTATCCAGGGACACCTCAAGCCTAAAAAGGTTCAGAACTACTGTACTACAGGCATAAAAATGACAAATCTGAACACAAATTCACACCATCTACGAATAGTAACCAAACACCACAGAAGTCAATCAGATTTGGGGGACTATCCATGCATGTCACAAAGTGAACCACAAATGCAACTTAATTTGAAGTAAACGCTCAAAAAAGGAAACCTCTAGTTTTGAGGCCTTAAATTTCTAGTATGCAGCATGTTTGAAATAATTTACAAATCCGCCCATATTGCACCTTAGAAATAGGGCAATCTCTTGTCCTCCCTCATCTAGTTTTCTCAATGAAAGTTTCACGTATGCAAATAAGAGATATGGTTTGTGTGACTGCAGTGTCTTTTAAAACTATATCACAGGAAATATCTGCAATTCTAGATGTAAGAAAATCATTTATGTAATAAAAAGAGGGGAACTAAGATTTTGCTGGAGCACCTTGTAGGTCTGTTTACTCGTGTGGTTTCACAGAGGTAGGTACAATCTAAAAGTTTGTAAGTTTACCAAGGACAAAATTTAAACTTGACAAAGCAGCTCAACTACATCAGAAGACTCAAATTCAGAAAACCTGGGCTCTCTTTAAAAAAACAAAAATGCAAAGCCTATTTGTAGACTGACATTTGAAATAGCCAGGGACCACTACAAATCAACCTAAAAGCTACTGAATAGCATTGCCCAAATCTTTTGCTTTGATCCTGGAATACTTGAATGAAAGCAAATGATTTGAATAACTCTACTCAGTGGATTTTAAGCTGATTTGTATTGGTCCCTGGCCAGTTTCAAACATCAGTCTACAGACATTTAAGCTAGGGACAGACATTACACATAAACCAGTTTAAGCGATCAGAAACTGGTTTAAACCTGTAACTGAACAGACATTCGGTGCACATAAACCAGTTTCAAAATGGCTGAAACTGGTTTGAGATAAACTTGGTTGAATATAGTATCCGAGTTAACTGATTTTGGTCAAACCAGTTTATGCACTGTCTGTCCCAGACCCCTTCCTGGTTTAACTTAAACTAGAATCCCCCAGCATCCTAGATGCTTTGCAGCCCTGGGTGGGGCTCTCAGCTCCAGAGAGCTGAGCTGGCCCCTCCCTTCTGCTCCCTGGCTGGAGCTCTAGCAGAGACAGCAGGCACAGCAGCATCTGCCTGGCTTCCCACTGTCCCCCCCACTTCCTGCCCAAGCAGGGATTCCCCCCCCACCCCTGTCCCAGAGCCCAGATGGTAGCCAGCATGTGGTATGCTAGCTAATGCTTAGAGGTGTCTGTGTAAGGTAGACAGAACAGTATCCACTTAAGGCTTTTTGGAGCTAATCAACAGGTCAGCTGGTAACATTGCTCTGTTCCTTCCTTGGAAAAAGCTGTTTAAGAAGAGCTTGAACTAATGAGAGAGGCTTTTGTTTTGTTGATGGGCTGATAAATGCTCTGTTATCAACTCCCTGTGTAACTCCCTGCTGTGCAAGTAAATGCTGTGTAACTCCCTGCTGGTTGGTCAGGAGCAACAAGAGTGGGGGCGGGGGGCCTCCCTAATCAGAGTTTCCTGCCGGGTCCTAGCCACCCCCTCCCCCCCTCAGCTCAGCAGTGTAGAAAGATAGGAAGATCTGCTCTATTGCACCCCCCCCCCGCCTTCTAGCCTCACCCACTGCAGGTGCCTGCATTTCTTCAGCAGGGATGTCTGCGCAGTTACAAACTGGTTCAGCCTAGCCAGGTTAAACTAACCTGCAAAGATTGAATCAGCTCAGGCTCAGGCTTTTTGAATTTCTGTCCCTAGCCTTAGATTGTATCTTTCAGTTTTTTCTCTCCTTGCAAGTGGCTGTTTTAATCAAATACTCACTGTGGTGGAAATGGCATATATTGAGTAGTGTTCAACCAACAGTCCATGGAGCCATGTCATCTGACCTATGGGGCTCCCCACAGGTCCGAAAGTTTGGCTGTGGCAGGGGAGCTATGACAGTGTTAATTGCCTGTAGACTGGTCTTGTGCAGAATTGAGGCCGTGGACCAGACCCACATGCCACGGCAAGGCCACAGATTGGCCCTGTATCACTCATCTGGTCCATGGGGCTGGCGATACATTGGGTACCATTGCCATACATAAACCTTAGTCATTAATGAAGTCCAGGCTTAGCTGTTGATGGTACTTGTCTCTTTCGTGGTTTTTCCTAATGGCTATGTTGGTGTTTCAGCCCATCTTCCCAAACATTGGTGGAAGGAGTAGTTTAACTTCAACTTTTGTCTTCCTACTGCATTTTAAAGCAATCAGGCACACAACTGCAGCAACATTTTCTAGTTGTAAAATATAGTGTCTTGACCACTTTTTACATAAAAACAAATCTGCTCACTTCTGAAAGGGTTGGTTCCCACATTAAATACCAATAATCTAAATAATCTGGATTCACTGGAGAGAAGATGATGTGGAGACATTATTGGAAAACTTCCTGTATTTCAGTAAGTAGAGGTGCCTTGCTTTGTTACTGTAAAGCATCAGTGAATTGGATATGTCAAATAACAGTAAAGCCTTCATTTTGAGTTATATCATGAGATGCTCACTGTAAACTGAAGGATGTTTTTCCTGCCGTTGTTGCTGTGATTTCAGTTCCTGTAGATATGACTTAGTTAGCTGGGCTACTTCTTCAGCGTATCTGCAACAGCATGCAGTTAAGCACAAGCTGCAAAATCCACCCAAACAGTTGAGGTAAGTACTTGGTTA